GGGGGGGAGTGTGGGGTTGGGTGCTGGCTGAGGAGCGACAGTATACATGTACGTGTGCACGCGCTCGTGCGCTGATGAACACGAGTGCACAAAAGAGATGCGCTCCGATGCGCTCTGCCCCCGCCCCCCTTCCCCCGCCGTTCGAAAGGTGCATTCAGCGCCATGTCATTATGCCAGGCCCTAAATCCCCTCGGCCCCCGACCCACCCTCAACATCGTCGGGGCTGAGGCTCTGGCCGACCACCATGAGTGCCATCTTTTTCAGCTTGTTCATCTGAGGAGTTCACGGTGAAGGTCACCGCGAGACGCACGCGAGGCGGCAGGAGCGGGGCAGGGTGTCTTGTCTCAGGAAGGCGACGGGGCCCTTTGCTGGGTTGCTTGGGGGTGGTATCAAGCTGGGCAGCCTTCGGCCAAAGGCACATGCGCGCCCCCATCCATCGCCGCTGCATCGAGCGAGCTCAGGGGTGAGTATGCACGTCTGCCATCCTGCCCCTCGGCCCCGTCGGAGGCGGCTCGAAAACGTTGAAAGCGCGCGGACGGTTGCAGAGCAGCGCCTGACAGCGCTTGTGAGTCAGACGGCTTGCCTGTGCGAAGCGGTGCATCCTCTCCAGCACGACGCTGTCCAGTTTGACGTCTGAGGCGACACCCTCCTTCACCAGCCAGTCGTGCTGGGGTGTGTAAGTGTGTGTGTGTGCGTGTGTGTGTGTGTGTGTGTGTTTGAGAGAGTGAGCATGTGTGTGTGTGTGTGCACGCGCGCGTGTGTGTGTGTGTGTGTGTGTGTGTGTGTGTGTGTGTGTGTGTGTGTGTGTGTGTGTGTGTGCACGAGCGAGAGAGAGCTTGCGCGTGGGCTCTCACACACGTGTGTGCGCAGCGCACTGCGCATGTGTGCGTATGCGTGTACACGTGTGCGGGTGCGCTCGCTTGCGGCTTGAGGATGGCGGCGCGCGAGGCACGTATGGCAGTGTCGTGTTGCCTGTGGCGAAATCCAAGCCTGGCCATGCGTGACGCGCGTGTGGAGAGCTTCAGGGTTCAGGGTTTGGGGTCCAAAGCGCACCTTCAGGATCTCGTGGGCCGAGACGCGCTGGCTGGGGTCCCGCGTGAGCATCTGCCTGATGCAGTCCTTGGCCTCAGGGCTGACCTTGGGCCACGGCTCTGACTTGAAGTCGATGTCGCCCTTCAGGACCTGCGGTGGGAAGTTCACGGCGCACGACATCGGCATGGGTGTCAAGTGCACGGCTCGTGAGACGAACAGCTCCACAAGTGAGAGGCTGTTGGCCTTGTTGGATCATGCTGCAAACTTCAGAGGAGAGCTGCAGACAACAACTGATCCAGGGAGCCCGGAATGTCCGCGGCAGGTTTACCGCAATGCAACCCTGCCAGATGCGGTTTGTTCAATGGCGCTGGTTATTAAATCATTTTTGAGGCACAGAGATCTCGTGAATCCGGACCGCCGCACCATTTTGAAGATCTGCTCCTCCGTACTGCCCCAGAACGGCGGCAGCCCGCTCAGCAGGATGTACAGGATGACGCCCAGGGACCACATGTCCGCCTGATGGCTGTAATTCTGTAGGTACGGGCCGTTTGATTAGAGATGTGAGCTTAATCAGCACAGCGTTTGTCTGCTTATTGCAGGGCCTCCAGCCAGAGTTGCATAAAAGTACTCTGTGTGACTCTGGCTAAAAACAGCCTAATACAACCACCGACCAGTGGGCATCAAGCTGTTTGACTGAATCCAACGGAGTGGAGGGGCCGTGGCAGGGGCCGTACGGCCGGGGCTGCGCAACGGTGCGTCCGAATCCAGCGGCATTGCGGCCACACCAATGCTGAGAACGCGCCCCGGTTTCCCGGCGCCGCCGGCCCAGCTAGCAAAGGTGATGGCGGCCCCACAGAGGGTAGGGTCCTCAGGGCACACGGCATAAAGAAGTCCGTCGCTTCAAGGTCAAGATCACTGGCAGGCCGTCGCAGCAAGGCCGCGCACGCACCTTCTGCAGCACCTCGGGCGCGACGTAGTAGGGGGAGCCCACCAGCTCCCTGAACCGCTCCCCCTGCCGGAAGAAGGTGCCTGGGGTGCGGGGAGAAGCCGCCGCGGCGTGGGGGCGTGAATGCGGCGAGCAGGGCTGTGGAAACGGGCGCGGGCCGGCCTTTGCTGATGGGACGGGCAGAGCCGCTGGGCGAGCATGTGCCTGAGCGAAAAGAAACAGGCCTTTGAAGGCCATGCGCCCTGTTCCGTGACTGCAAGTCGAGCTTGGCAGCAGCAAGGCACGCGGGCCCGCCAGGGGCGGCCGGCGACGCGATGCGACATGTGCGTGCCAGCTAGCAGCCCCGGCATGATCCCATAAATTCAAGGAGGACGGGTAGCCCGATCCGGCGACTCACTCAGACCGAAGTCTGTAACTTTGAGGTCTGCGTCGGGCTCCTTGCTGGTGAGCAGGAAGTTCTCCGGCTTTAGGTCACGGTGCACCACCCCCAACTGCAGCAGGGTTTGGGGAAGGACAGAGACGGCGCAAGATGGGGGGTCTAGTAAGCAAACGGGGCAACCTCGGCAACCCCGGCGCGTGCTGGGCGCTGGCCGGGGCCCAGTGGGAGCGTAGTATTGCGCCGACCATGGCATGCGGGAAACTCCGCATTGCACAGGCCGCGCGGCCCCGCGCGACGGGTTTGAGGCGTGTGCGGACTGGCCCACTTTTGCCTCTCGATTTGCCCCACCTCGTGGCAGTGGCGCAGGACCTCCGCCATCTGCCTGAACACGCCCGCCGCCTTCTTCTCGCTTCGGGGCGCCGGTTGGGGGCGAGGGTCGGGGGGAGGGGGCGTCGGTGGACCGGCCGCGACGGTGGGCGTGCGAGAGCGGCATGCTGCTGCTGTTGGGAGCGTCGTTTTGGGGTTGAAGGTTTGGGGTTGCCACCTGTGGCGACTGCCCTTTCTCCCACGCATCATCGGCCGCTTCCAGGGGACCGTTTGCGTGTGTGGGCGGGTGCACACACTGAGGCGCGCACGTGTGCACGCGTATGCACGTCGACCCCTCCCTCCCACACCCGCAATGTTTTGCAAACATTGGCGACAGCAACCTGCACCTCGGCCCACATACGTTTTGATTTTATGTAACAGCAGATCTGTCACTCGAACACCCTCACAAGCCCCGCACTCACCGCACAGACACCCACCTGAAGCTGCCCACAGACGCTGTCCCATTCAGCGCTGGTTGCCTCTCCCCCTCTGTCCCCGCACGCCCCGCCCCCCACGCACCCTTCCACGCACACACACACACACACACACACACACACACACACTCTCACACACACTCTCTCTCTCACACACACACAAGCACCCTTTCACACTCACCCTTATACACACGCACAAGTGTGCACACAGACACAAACACGAGCACACACACGAGCACACCACACACAAGGAACGTCGACCCATGCGCTGCCCGAATTGTCCACATCCATCCGAAGATGCCCAGAGCCGCAATCCCATCAAGGTGGCAGCTTCTCCCCCCAACACACATACACACAATCTCCTTTGCTCTCTCACGTACACACGCACTCTACTTGTCATGCACACACGTGCACCCCCCCCCACACACACGTTCAAACTCACACAAGCACGCACATGAGCACACAACACACCCATGAAATGCCCGAAAATGTTGATGGCCACCTGAAGCTGCCAGCAGCCACTATGCTGTCGAAGAGCTCTCCCCCAGAGCACAGCTCCATCACCAGGTGCACCGAGTCCTTGTCCTCGTAGCATGACTAATGGGATGAGTCATTGTGGGTCGTTTGATGATGATTGGGTGGTGACGTGATATGAAAGCAGGGGTGCACCATGATGCGAGCGCCCGAAGGGCGTGCGAAGGGAGGAGGTGATGGGCAATGCAGCTGTAAAGGCACGCATCGCGCACGGGGTGCGTTTGCTGCGGTTTCGGCAGCGCGAGGGCCCGTCGCAATCATAAACGCGGTCTGCTCCGCTGCCTGTGTGGACGGCCAGCGGCGTGGCGGCACTTGCCGTGCCGTTCGCTGCCCAGCACAGCAGATCACGCGTCGACGAGAGGGCGGACCTGAATTGGCCACCACCACGCCCGCAGCGCGGCGCTTTTGCGCGATCGCTCGAACGCACGGCTCATGGGGCAGGCAAGGGGGGCGTAGCGCATGGTGGCACACCAGACGTGGCGTAGTGCGTTGCGTCACGCGCTGACTCACACCTTGAGGGTGACTACGTTTTTGTGGCCTCCCAGCAGGTTCATGATGGACACCTCCCCCAGGATGTCTTTCACATCCTCCTTGCATGTCAACCTGTGTTTGCAAACATGAACAGGATGAAGATGATAAGCAGACTGGATGGGGGGGGCCTGGATGAGGCATCGTGGGATGGGCACACATCAAAGCAGCACAATTTTTTCTCATGGATGAAACGTGGGGCACTTGGGGCCTGCTCCGTGGCGCCCGCCGCCGCGGGTGCATCTGCCCAGGCGCGTCTGCTACGCCGCTTGGCAGTGTGCGGCGCTCCGCACTGCGCGAACGCAGCTGTAGGTATTGCATGCGCGCAGCGGTCCGATGCCAGAGGCACAGTGGCCAGCGCTGACCTGGCCTTTGAGATGCTTTTCACCGCCACCCGCTCCCCCGTCGTTTTGTTGCGGGCCTGAGGGGAAATCGATCGCGTTTGGTATCAGGTGCAGACGGATGCAGACGAGCCAGGGGCTCGAAATCGGTCCGCTTGGTCGGTGGCGGCCATCTGAGGGTTTGGCTAGCCATCTACGTGTGTCCCTGGCCAGGCGTACGCATGTGTCTGTCGCGCAAGCGGCCGCCACATGCAGGCCTGTCCTGCAGAGACACAGCGTGCCGCGTGGGCCGGCAGCCGCCGACAATGTCGCCTGGACTGCTGCGTCGGGCAACGCGGACGCGCATGCACGGTGCCGCTCGTGCGCAGCCCGTATGCCGCATCTTGGGGCCATTGAATACGGAAGAGGCACCAAGCGTGCGCGCACCAGGTGCACCACGCCAAAGGCGCCCTTGCCCAGCTCCTTGTCCAGCAAGTATTCGGCCTCCAGGCGCGGCGCGTCCGGGCCTTTGCCGAGGATGTCGGCGGCCGAGAAAGTGGCAACGGCGGTGGCCATGGCTCACACTGCGAACTATAAGATATTATTGTGTCTCAGGCTACACTGCGGGCGCTTCTGTCGCGTAGATCGGTGATCTGCACACTCAAACAAGTGCCAATACGCCGCGGGGCCTCACAGACTACCGCATGTACAGGTCGACGGATGCCTGGATCATCGCAACAAGCTTGATCATGGGTGTCTGGGCCGGACCCAACCAAGGGGAGAGGGCACCGGCAGTTGCTGGTGTCGTGGCAGGTGGAGAGTGACGGCTTGTGCTGCTGAGTTTCCCCGGCTAGCTTGGCAGAGAGACAATGATGCGCGCTGCCCGCCGTATAATGAGGCATACGGTGCGATCCAACAGGATGATGTTTGGTTTATATGGCGTCAACCGTGCGTGCGAGGGGGCCTCGCACATCACAGAAGCAGTCTGGTTGCTTGTCCTGCGTTGCATGCAGTTCCTGGTTTCGAGCTCTTAGTCACATACAACTGTGGCACCCTTATAGTTTCCAAGATCTGCCACCATCGTAAAGCACACTTGCCGTTGGCCGGCAATGCTTGGTCAAACTCAGCAACTGTCTGGTGCCAGTGCTGGTGCTACCAATCGGGTACCATAGCGCAGAAAGGAGTGTTTTCATCCAACCCTCATGGCAGTGGATAAGCACACCCATAACAAGAGGACGGGTCTATCAAACAACCATTGACGGACCCATAGGCGAGCAGTATCTTCGCACCGGCGAGGGTACTGGAATGCTGACTCAGCGTGCTGAGTAGCCTCACCACTCCTTCTGTCTACCTGATGGGCATCCATCGTCGTCCCCTCGCATGCCCATGAAACGTACGCCGTGTGGTTGCTTGCCGTATGTAACAGCCAACACAGTTCAAGCCACTCAGTCAAAACAAAACCACAGCAACTTCTCAGGATTGCCAATGGAGGATGGCTGCCCCCTGCAATCCCGTCTTGGGCGGCTGTCCCTGGTTTGACACATTGACTTGCCCTGAAGATTCACAATGCATGAAGCAGATGCCTGCAGCGTCCTGCGCTCGGCTTCTGCTGTGGCGCCCGTGTTGAGGAATGGCGTGGCACTGTGGGGAGCAGGGCGAGCCGCCATGCACGCACATGCGGCCGTCTTTTGTTGGCCAGCCGCAGGCAGCTGAGACGCAGAACCGGGATGCTAATGACCATCACAAGTCCCCCTGTACCTGACTTGCACCCGCGCCTGCCCTGTTTGTCGCATCAAGGCTGCACCGAAGCGAGAACTGGACCACGCGCCTTGGTCAATGACCCATCCGGTGACAGAGCGGACCCCAGCTAGACTGCCGTCAATAGGGCTGTTTCAGCGAGATATGCCGAGAAAGATTGTGTATAAAGGTCATATTCAAGGGATAACGGGTTGTAACTCGGCTACGGAGTGCGAATGCACGGCAGGGCATCGGGCTCAGCCCTCGCCAGTGAGAGGCGGACGTTCTTCAAAGCACTGCAAAGAGTCATCCGTCTATGCTGCTTACTTCTCGCACTGCCTGTGGTATCGCCTCTCATCGCTGCATGGTGTTTGTTTCCAGCGCTCCACGCACGATCTAGTCGTCTTTGTGTCTTCCTTCGCATTGGAATTATTGCAGGCCGTGAATGAGACGCACGCACGCCTCCCCTGGCGGCGCGGCGCCGGCCGCAAGAGTTGCAGTGCTCGCGCTGCTCGCGGTTCTCGCAACCGCAGCCGCGGCATGCTGCACGCCGCCGTGCCCATCCAGCGCGCCGCCGGTGACTTTTGCCGCGGCGGCCCGACGCCTGCGGCAGTCTGGCGACGAGCCTGAGCTCGCCGATCGCAATGCCGCAGCCGCCAAAGAGGAGGACGTATCGGGGCAGTCGGCTGGCGGAGAGGTCAACACCTCTGGAAAGCACGACAAAGCCAGCAGGAAGGACGAGGCAGGTGACACGGCCCCTTCCAAGGCGCCTGCCACGGAGGAGGATGCAGCGGCGGGCGCGAGAAGCAGCGACGGTGGCCGCGGGGAAGAGGAGGGGGTCGGCGGAGCCGGGTGGCAGGGGCCGGCCGCACCTAAGGGTGTCGCGGGTGGGCAGGCTAAGGGGAGCGGCTCAAAGGCGGGGCCGGCGGCGGGTGCCGGGGCCGGCGGCGTTCGCGAGGGCGATGCTGCAGACCAAGAAGAGGGCAGCAGCAGCGCGGCAGCAGGGCAAGGCGCTGACGCGGCGGCAGACGAGGAGGGCGCCGGCGCCGAGCGCAGCCGCGGCGCGGCGGCGCGCGCCGGCGCCGCGGGCGCCGGCGACGGCAAGGGCGGGAAGGGCAAGCCGGCGAGATCTGCGGCAGGAGGCACCGACGAAGATGCGGAACCCGGCGCGCCTGGGGCCGCTGGCGACGAGGGTAGCGAGGCTGAGGACGAGGCACCCAAGGCGAAACCGCGTGCCGGCAAGAAGAAGAAATTTGATGATTTTGAGGATGGGATAGTGGATGAGGACGGGTCGGAAGACGGCGGCGGCGCGGCGGCCGGCGGGACGGGCGCGCGCGCGTCGGCGG